ATAGATAACATGGACAAAATGACACGATCATACACCGTGAAAAGGATGACGAGGAGATGGCTCTTGTAGTTTTTTATAACATGATAGGCATCAGCGCCATGAATACATACAGCTCTTGAAACCTAATTCAGCTTTTGATTTGAAAAAGAGAAGAAACTTTCTAATTGAGCTAGGATAAGAGCTAGCAGAATACAAGGACCACGAAAAACCAGAAGCAGAAGAAGAAGCTGAAGCCTCTGCTAGTTTTTAGGTTCCAAGAAAGAGGAAGAGATTTGATATTTGTTCATCTTCAAAAGAGATAAAAACAAGAACAACTTGTGCACGTTGTCAAACCAATGTATGCGGTGAACACTCAGCAGTTATATGTAAGAAATGTGTTTAACCCACTTTTACTTTTATGTAAATATTTTATTTTACAATATAAATATTAGGTACATGTCTTTTCTGTTGTTGAACAAAATAAAAGTCAAATATAATAATGCTTACGTTATATTGAATTGAAAATAATCGCCGAATATTAGTTCAAACTCAGCATATATGGACCCGCGTTGTAAGTATCGATAGGCCGTTTTCTTGGTAGTTCTAGGGTTAAACTAACACTAGACCTAGAACTAGACACTTTCGGGTTAAGCCGTGCGTCTTTTGAAAAAATGTTTGACGTTTCGGATGCCATGTTGCAACCTTCTTCAGAAAACACTTGGGACTTGTTTCTGAAACGGTAGGATTACGAACTTCAAAATAATTTCCAGTTATTTCTCGTGGTCACTTTGGTTATAAGGATCATTTTCCGAAACCTCTAGGTCTTACCGTTATGGAGATACAGCCGCTCCGTACTGGCTGCTATAACTTATATGTTTAACATTTAGTGCTGTAGACTATTGAGCAGAGTGTTTAATTTTATCTATATTTTTCATAATTGTAGTAACAGTTTATGGAGGCAAATGTAAAGAACCACAGACATTAGGATATGGTCTGTCCATTTTCCATTCGTCGAATTACTTCCAATTTTGTTTCTAGAGAAATATATTGTCGTGCCTTCTTAACACGGTTAGGCAACTTTGATACCCTTCTCTTAGTTGACAGTAACTCTTCTTTATTCTTATATACATGTTGAACAACGAATATCGGTCGAGACATCGGGGATTCACACAGCGAAACAGCACACTGCGTTGCGGCGTAAATTAAGCCGGCTTCCTGTAGTATAGATTACAATGAATTGAACTAAAATTAGAACTAACACAAGAAACTTTCGGGTTTTGCCGTGCGTCTTTTAAGAAAAGGTATGACGTTTCGGATGCCATGTTACAACATTTTTTAGAAACTGGTTCAAAGTGACGAAATCGAAAATCGGGAACAATATACATATAAGTCGAAAAAAATGATTAATAATAATCAATTAACGCTAATTACAAGCTAATTGTTAACTAATTGCATCGCGTCCGGTGTGCGGCGGGAGGAGGTCTTCGTGTTCACCACCATCTTCCATGTTTTGCTAAGGTCCCAGCCATCTTCTCTGTTGACGTTATTTCTATGTCGATGGATCTCTATGGCTTCTCTTGTTAGTCTTTGGTAATATCTGTTCTCCCTAGCCAGCACCTTGTTTGTTCGAAGTCTATTCGGTGTCCCTCTGCATGGCAATGCTCCGCAACCGCCGACTGCTGGATCTTCTTCAACCTTACCAGTTTGCCAACGTAAACCTTCCCACAACTACACGATAGTCGGTAAACTCCCGCTCCTTTTAATGGAGTTAGTTTGTCCTTGGCTATCGGTAGTGTGTTCCGAATTTTGCTGACCGTCCTGTACCGTAACATGATGTCGTTTTTCTTGAGGTGCCTGGCAATTCGTTTCGTCACACCTGAAACATAGGGAAGACATATAAATCCAAGTGGTTTTGTAATTACTTTTTCCTTTTTACGAACCTTGTCGTTAGCGAACAATAACAATTAGTAATATATACGCTTTATTGTTTTGTAATTACCGCGTCCTCCTTCTGCTTTTGCTGCTTCATGGCCACGTTGATGTCACTCGAAGTGTATCCGTTCTTCTGCAACACGCTTCGTTCCATATCTCCATTTGTCGTCCTGGTGACCAACACATCTAGGAAAGGTAGTTTTTCGGCAGGTTCTGTTTCCATGGTAAATTTAATTATAGGATGTTGAGAGTTCAAATGATCCAAGAACTCTTGGAGCCGTTTTTGACCATGTTGCCATGTTACAAATATATGTGGCTCCGATATGTGTCATCCACATATCGGAGCCATAGTTTTGGTTTTCACTTTCTCTTCTTCAAAGCATCTTCTTAGAATAATTCCATGTAGAAATTAGCTATAACTGGCGATAATGGAGATCCCATGCCTGTTCGAACTGTTCGTAAAATTCTCCTTTCCAGCTGAAATACGTCGACGATAAACAGTACTCCACTAGATCTGGCACGTATTCTGTTAATCCCTCCGGAATGAGCTTCTGGCGGAGACCATCCACAGCATCCTTAACTAGTACCCCGGTAAAAAGAGACTCCACATCGAAACTTACCAAAATATCCTTAGCCATCTAGCTTTATACCTTTTACCGATTCCACAAGAAGTTTAGAATCCCTGACATATGATTCCGTGTTCCCTGTAAAGGAAGACAGAATCTTTGCAAGATTACAATGACGTAATGATCAACACCTTCGATCGCGTAGTATGTCTTCCAGCAACTAAAAAGAAAGAAAATAGACAGTGTGTACTATAACCATCATTTAGACTTTCCGAGGATGTGGCGCTCAGCAAAATGTATGTTTTTGTTATTATTACTTATTCTTTGTATTCGTTATATGTTATAAAACCATAAATAAATGGTAGTGCAATGATACTGTTTTTTTCTTGATTTTTTCATGAACGAGTTAACTCGTGATTAAGTGTCAATTAGGCAAACTTTGAATTTCTTTATTCACTAATTTTTTTGGAAATCTTATGGAATATTTGCCTATCAAGAGACAATCAAGATATGACAAAAAAAAACATGTAGGGTCAAAAATCTAAAAAAATCCATGCTTAACTGCTTAACTTGCAAGCGATAAAAATTAGAATACAAACAAGCAATTCAACAACAAAAAGCTATAACTCTTTTCAACTTTATACAAAATAGCAACAATCGTTCTAAGGCCATTTGGAAGGTAATTAAAAACGAATTTTACCAAAAGAAATTAGACAACAGTAGTGACTATGATTGTTCAACTCCGGATAATGAATATTTTTGTGAGATTGACAACCAGATGCACTCTGAACCTGTGCTCTGTCCGGAAATCTTCCTGAAGAGAAGCAGGTCGATAGTGTCATACAGAACCTAAAATCAAAAAATACATTAGACTTGTATGGAATTTCATCAGTTTTATCAAAGAGTATACGAGACAAAATAGCAAAACCGTTAACAGATGTTATCAATCAATGCATGCTAGATGGAATTTACCCAGAAGAATTTAAAGTTTCAAAGGTAGTGCCACTTTTCAAGAGTGGTGACAAAGCGAATTGCGCTCATTACAGGCCCATCGCAATACAAGCAACACTATCCAAGGTCTTTGAACGAGTCATAAAGAAGCGACTGATTGACTTTCTTGAGAGTCACAGCATATTTAACATCTGTTACGGGTCATTTGGAACTGATAGCAAATGCTTTCAACAAAAAGGAAGAAGCACTACTCAAATGCTGCGATCTGACAAAGGCTTTTGATTGCGTCGACCACCAGATTCTGCTCGCTAAGCTAGAGTACTACGGTATAAGGGGTTCACTTTCACTCTTCAAGACATATCTCCGGGATAGAACACAAATGGTTTACTGGGAAGGAAGATTCTCGGCAAGAAGACTTCGCTGTTGGTGACATCTAGAGACAGACAGGAACTCCTCGGAAGGTCCGAAGAAGTCGAGCTGGAAGCGAAAGAGTGGTTCGCCAGCACTCACCAATACTACTCGATTCCCACCTGAAATGGAATTCACATATAGAATACGTTACAAAAAAGTTAGCCACAGCAACCTACTTCATCAGAAGAATAAGGATTATCTCAACGCATGAAGCTGCTAAAACCGCCTACTTCAGCCACTTTAATTCCATACTTCAATATGGCATCGAGGTGTGGGGATCATCGCCTCAAACTTCCAAGTTCTTAATTCAGCAAAAGGAAGCCCTTAGAGCTTTGGCGTGTGCAGGACCGCAAAATAGCTGCAGAAGCATATTTAAAGCGATGCAAATATTAACTGTCCCTAGCGTCTACATATTGGCAGCAGTTACCGTCTGCATAAGAACAAAATGAGATATTCATCTCATAGTGATATCCACCAACATGACACTAGGCAGAAGAACAGGGTCATCATTCCACAGCACCGCATCAAAAGAGCACAACAAAGCACTAATTATATGTGCATAAAATTATATGATAAATTGCCACCAGCCTATTGTGAGTTGCCCATCTTCAGAGGAAAAGTGATTTTTACTACAATACTCCTTCTACTCAATAGAGGAATACTTAAATTGCATTTTTTATTGAATATTATTATTATATTTTTGTATTGTTGACTATTGTACGCACATTTCTTTGCAACAAATAAACATTATTATTATTAATTAACATTCTTATCCACAATTGGTGTGAGTTAAGCATAGATTTCAATCGTAAAAATTAAAATTGGGTTTAAATTCGATATTGAATGAAAGCATTTTAACGAAATGTACCAACGTTAAATCGCAATCGTAAATCTCCGGGTCATGTTGAATCCAGACGTGTTTGCGTTCCACAATAATCGTTGTTTTCGCTGAAACGGAAGTGTCGTCACGCGCTGACAACCGTAAACAACTGTTGAGATGCTAATTCACGGTCCGTAACAAGATCGTTCGAATAGAAAGCAAAATGACGTGCGTCGTTTGAATTATTAATTATAAATTATTAATTAGGTGTAATTTTGTTTCGCAATCCGATTTGTTTGTTTGATATAAAAATAATAATTGAGTTGTTGTTTTAATTCCAGAATCCGATAATCACAATACATCTCCGCTTTCGGGGCCGGAACCGGGTGGTCACAAAGCATCATTCCGAAGTACGAAGCTTGCGAAAAGAGCCCGTTCTTTCAAAGACGACGTCCTTGAAAAAATATCACAAATGCGGAGCCCCACGAATCAAGGTCTTAAAGGGAGACCGCCTAAAAGAGCCGATCCGAGCGACAATTCTTACAATAAAGGTCCAATCGACGAACTCAATCAACAATTTAAACAAGTTCGTATATAACATTATTATATTATAATCATTATTTTATTAAATATTTATAGCTGCAGCTTGCTTTAAAACATTTTCGAGATGTGGTACTCAAAAAGACGTTGGAAATGTTACCTGGAAATGGGACAATTGTTTTGGATACGATTTGGGCGATTAATTTAATCGTTCAAAGAACGATTGGTCCGTCGGATAAAACGAAAAGTATTAAATCGGCCACACAAAGAATGTATAATTCGGTTGGGAAATTAATTAAGTTGTGTGATGATGCTTTGATTGATGAAACATGTTCGGCTTTGGATAAACAAAACGTTGATGAAGTCGTTAACCAATTAGAAGATTCAGTAAAGGTAAGATTTATAAAATTTAAAAAAATAATTCTAAATTATTTAATTATTTAGGCATTGATTAAAGAAGTTCAAGATAAAATGACTGCTCAACAACCTAATTCGGGTTATATGAGCGCTCCAAGGCCATCTCACAGCAGTTTAGACGCCCCAGCCCAAAGAAATTCACTTCCCGATATTCCTTTAACACCGCGGGATTTAGAAAAACTCGAAGATAGTTCGTGTCCATCGCGAGTTGTTAGAAGTAGTCATAGTACCGAGTCGATACTCAGAGATTCTAGTCCGCCACCTAAACCACCTTTACCAAGAGGATTGTACTCAAAAGAATCTGGAACAATAATGACCCCACCTCCATTACCACCAAAGAAAAAGCACATAGAAAATTTCACATATTTTAATTCGGATTCATCAATTTTTAAAAATAGTTTTGAAAGGATGTCGTTAATATCGCGTTCGTTAGAAGATTCAAGTTCGATTTTATCGGAAAGCGCGGGAAGTTTAGATTCGATGTTAAATAATTCGCGGGACGAAGAAGAAGAAGACGAAATAACCGCGATTATGGATCCGAGTACCGATAACGAAAGCATCTTAGAAAGCGATTTATCCGGAATGACCACAAACGGTCTTTGGCACGATGACATCCAAAACACTTCGTCGCATTCGTCGCAAACCAACAATGAAGACGCGAACAGTTTTACTTTACATCGATTATCAAACACAGATTCGGGTTTTATGTCGGTTCAATCACATCGGAGTTCGAGTTATTCAAAACGAAGTTCGCAACAGAGCGTTGTCAGCACGCAATGGACGTCACAAAAAACATGTTGTGTTAAACAAGAAGCGGTCGTTTTTTCATCTTCTTGTTCGAAAATGGCTAGTAGTAATAATGCAATTGTTTCTGAGCTTAATGCTAGTTATGGAAATATTGATGAGTGTGATGATGGTTCAAATGAAAATGTTCCACCGCCGATTCCACAAAAAATGAGACGGAGACAACCATCACCATATGATAATGTTCCAGAAAATAATATGGGTTAGTAAGTTTAAAGAATTATTTTTAAAATCCATTTTACCAGTTTTTATTAATATTTAGGAGAAATAATATAAAATTTTATTGCACTTTTAATTAGAATAATTTTTTAATTAGAAGATAATAAACATGAGTCTTACTAGGTTTGGCTAATAGCCATCTTTAGATACTCTACAATGGGGCTATTACACTTTTTTTTTTATTGGCTTATTCGATAGTTTAGCAAAATTGAAGACTTTTATAATTTTTTATTTTTCAAATTGGGCTTTAGTTTTTCCAAAAAAAAGTAATGAAAATTTTAGAAAACTTTGGTGACGTCACTCACCGTCGTTTCGCACGCGGTTGGTTGAAATAAAAATAAAAATCAATAAAAGATGCATGAGCGAGATGCCACGAGAATCTTATGCGCTAGAAGAAGAGATCCGATGCACGTTTGTGTTTTCTTGATCTTACGCGAAAACTTTGTAAACGTCACCAAAGCTTTTATATTATTTTATATATTAATTACACTAATTTACAAGAAAAATCTCGAAGACTGTGATATTTTTTTATAATGTAGAATGTTGTGCTGATTTTGAAACTGTCTTCAGTTTTTTTCCATCACGTCCAGTTTTTGAGATATACCCAAATATGTGGAAAATCGTAAATTAAAAAACATAGTAACGGTTCATGTTCAGTATATTTTTTATTTTGCATAGTGTGCTTCTGTAGCTATATGGACATGAAAGTAAAGATCCAGACGAACACTTTGAGGTATTGATGGCATAAATCTAAGCTACAGCCTAAAACAACTCAACAAAATCAATTGTTTTGGCGTTTTTCCCATTTTTTTATCACTTAATCGCACCGTAACGAAAAAGAATTATATATGAACAAAAAAGTTTGCATTCTATCCTGTAGAACATTTAATTCTCTAAATTTTGAAGTATTGGACTCCGTATTTACCGTATTGAGTGGCATATTTTATTTTTTCCATATTCCATACAGTTTTGCGGAAAATCGTGGATTTGACCAAAATATGTCAAATAATGTCGGTTGTCGGATTCCGTTATCAGTTTTTCAAAATTAGAGCTCCCTAATTTTTTAAGAGCGATTTAATGGAATTACAAATTAAAGAGAAGCAGAAATAAGCTTTGCGGGGTGACGCGGGTTCCGTCCAATCAAAACAGATGGTGCGTCCCAGACTGGACGTCGCGCCTTATTTCTTTATGTAGGTAAGATAAAGGCGCGACGTACTGTGTGGGACACAGCATCTTCCTCCTCTCCTCGCATAGCTTATTTATCGCATCCTACTAAACCGCGATTTTCCGCGAAACTACATGGAATATCGAAAAAATAAAATATGCCTCACATTAAGAACACATCGGTTTACCACCAGCTCAAAGTTGGAATTTTTTCGTCAAATTGTTTTGGACAAAAAAAATTGCAAAGTAAACTAAGTTGCTGGCACATCAAAAATCGGGTACTTTTTTTTACTTAATTCGTGATAAAAGAAAAACCGCGGACCCGAAAATTTCCAAATTAACATGTGATACGCAGAAATGTTCGCTGATTATAATAAACCTTACCGCAATATTTTCCATCGAGCGGTTACGAAGATATCGATCTCCAAAGCGAGGGGCCTTGACTTTTTGCACGGATAGTAGTCAGAGTTGACTATACCTAGGGAAAGTATGCTCTCACTGTCTTGACGTAGTAAAAGTTGACTTTTCACAAGGAAACGGTCTACTAGCTAACAAAAAACACATAAAAAGACAAAACCTTTATTAATACATAAAGAGATAGAAATGTTTATAAAAAACTAATAAAAATGCAAAACCTTTATAATATATAGAGATAGAAATGTTTATCAGTTATTACAGCAAGGCAAAGATTTGTGACACTTTGAGTTGCAATGTATGGATTTGCATTTAGTGTTACAAAAGCATTTAAAAAATCCTTGTCCACTTCCAAGCAGGGATGAAAAACGAAAAATAATTCATTCGGTTTTTTTCGAAGCAACTCCATCACGACTATCTTCCTGATAAAAATATCTAAAGCCAGCACGTTCAGCATATTGCGATAGTAGGTGTTGATCTCATGGCGCCGGTAATTAACAGGCAGGCCAATCGTTGCAATTGATGCAGCAATTTAATTTAATTAGATAACACCAAGATATTTCACCTTTGGAGCAAAAGTTAATGGATTATTGCAGAAATTAGGCGGTGTTAAGTGTCCCAGTTTCTTCTGTTTAGTCACTAAACAGCAGAAACTGGGACACTTTTTTTTTTCACCATAGTTTTGAACATAAAAAAAAATTATTTTAACCAGATTACTTACCGGTTGCTTACCTAAAACTTTTGATTATCGTTCGAAAACGGTATTTTCGATTTCGTTTTCGATTACATTCTTTACAAAATACCGGTTAATACCGTTATTTCGTTTTCGTTTAGTTTTCTATCCCTGCTTCCAAGTGATTGTGAAGTTGCAATAGTCCTCACAGCTATTGTTTTATCCATAGGAACTTTATTTTCTGAGATAATATTTGTAGGACATTTACTGAATTGAGACGTGAAAAAATATTATCATTGAACAATTTAATACTATGGGCAGGGAGGGAGAAAAGGGAAAAGTCTCTCTGTTTTACCTCTTTTATTTTATCTTGGAAAAATTACTTTAAGAAAAGCTGCTTTCGATTTCCATTTCTTGTTCCAATTCGATAAAATCCATCATTCATTGACAACCTCCGGTACCACGCCAAGGATAGATCGAGCATCTCCTCTTGCGCGGTCAAAATCAGGGACAGTGGATGAATAGTGGATGAATCTGATCTGAGGTTTTTTTCATTTTGAGAAAGCTTCATTTCTCTGTCTTTTAATGTCATCAGTAGACTTGTCCAGATCAGTGAGGAGATAATCACTATCATCTCACGAGTTTTTCACAACTTGATAAACTTTAGTTCCAACCCCACAATTGGATTTCGTATGTTTATTTTGGTTTTAATACTTGCTTATATATTAGCAACTTGTTTCTTAGCGATAACGTAGATATTCTGCCAATAAGCCAATATAGGTGTCTAAATTTGATATCAAATTTCAGAAACTCGACTTCGAACCAGTTTCTGAAGAAGGTTGCAACATGGCATCCGAAACGTCAAACCTTTTATTAAAAGACGCACGGCAAAACCCGAAAGTTTCTAGTGTTAGTTCTAATTTTAGTTTAATTATGTCGATTTATTTGTATTTAATTTTATTGGCCATCGTTTGGTCCAGTTTTCTATTGAATTGAAGGCCAATTGCAACTTATTTGCTGCAATTACTTCATTTTCTGCAACTGCCAAGATCACTGTGTCATCTGCGAATGTAGCTGTTAAAGTTTCTGGTATCTGAGGAAGGTCGAATATGTAGAGTAAGTACAGTGTTGGGCCAAGCACACTTCCTTGAGGAACGCCGGCTTGTATTTCATGTAGTGGTGAATAAGCGTTTTCGTATTTTACTCTAAAATATCGATCAGAAAGGTACGATTTTAATAGGTGACTATAAGTTAATGGTAGTTTGGTCTCGTTTGTAATTTAAACCATCTAACCAGACTTTGTCGAAAGCCAGACAGGTTTTAGTCTTTTTAATAGTAGTTTTTCAAGTAGTTTTGATAGAGTAATAATGAGATTGGCCTATAAGATGTAACATCTGTGGGGGGTTTACCAGGTTTTGGTATCATTATTATTTCAGCAAGTTTTCATATACTTGGGAAGTATTTCTATTTAAATCAGCATTAATTATGTATAACAGATTTGTAATCGCCCGTTTTGGTAGATGTTTCAATGTTTTTCCATTAATTAGATCATAGCTTACTTATTTCTTTATATTTACTTTTTGTATTTCATAATACAGTTCTTTCATTCTTACACATGGTATATTACTCTGCTGATCACGTTGAATTACGCTAGAGACACTATTTAGCATAGTTGTTGGACTGTCTGATGTAAAAGTTTCTTTTAGATGTTCAGCAAACAAATTAACTTTTTCTTGATGGCTCTTAGCTCAATTTCCATTATTATTTCGAATTAGAGGTGTATGTGGTTTTGGAACTTTAAGCTTTCTTGTTGCCTTCCACAGAGAATGATCAGTACTGGCGTCGTCAGTAAGGTCTTTTAAGTAATTTTGAATATTATTATCCTTGTGACTATCTATTAATGCTCTTAATTCATCTGTTATTATATTTAATTTAGTTTTATCACTAGGAATTCTATTGGTTTGCCATTTCTTTCTTGCTTTCCGTTTTTCTGCAATTTTGTCTCTAATGAATTTAGGATAAATATTAGATTTAGGTTTTGGTGTTAAAATTGGAGTTGAGGCCCAGGCTGCGTTTTGTATGTCTTTTAAGAACTTTTCTACTTCATTGTCAATGTCTTTGTTTGTTTTAATAAGAGCATTAAGATGAATTTTATTATCTAAAGTTTGTTGAAATAGATTCCAGTTAGTGAATTTATTAGTTAATGATAAAAAGGGTTCTTTGTTATTTAGAGTAATAATTACTAGTGAGTGATCTGAGTCCAGCCCTAACTCTTCTCCTATGTTTACGAAGTTAAGCGATATATTTTTCGTAATAAAAAAACAAGCAGGTCCGGAATTTTACTTCCATCTGTTGGCCAGTAAGTTGGCTTCCCAGTGGAGAGCCCCTCACAATTTAGGGCCTCTATTGCATGGTTTAGTTGTCTTCCTTTTGTATTTGTCAAGCGAGAACCCCAAGACATATGTTTTGCATTAAAGTCTCCTCCAAGTATAAATTTGTTATCAAGATGTAGTAGAATTTCCTGATAATCTTCTCTTTTCAGATTATGTCTCGGTGGTATGTACGTTGCTCCTACAGATATTAAGCCATTAGCAGTTTGAACTTTTACCACTGTAGTTTCGTACTAATTGTATTGTTCAAATAGTGATCAACATTCCTTTTAATAATAATTGCACTTCCACCTCGAGCCGCATTACTCGGGTGAATTGTGTAATAAATATTGTAATGGTTGATGTTTATATACGATTCTCGTGCATCAATATCGTTTTCTTCAAGTATTATTGGTAGTGTATTTTGATGCTGTCTAAGACCATTGGAATTCTACAGCATTATTTTTAGGAGCTGCTTTTTAGACATTTTGATTTCTTTTTTTGAATCGTTCCTTGGCTTAAATTGCTTTCAATGAAATCTAGACGTGCATATAATGTTTTCATTGTTTCTTCTTGTTGAAGTATTTTTCTGGTATTAGATCTAATTTATTGTCAGCCTTTTTCTCGACTAATGATTACTTACAGTTTTCTCTGCAGTTTCACCACTCGCTTTTTCGGCATACGAGACGCCTGGCTTTCTTTTATTTGAATTTACTGTTTTCTTATTCCTGATGGCTTGTAGTTCCTTAATCACAATGCATCCTCGGTAGTTCGCTGGATGATTTTCTCCATAGTTAAAACGTTTAGCCGGCATTTCTTTGGCTTTAGTGCATTCACTGGTCTAGTGTTCCCCAGCGCATTTCGGATTTTTGTGGCAATAAGCTTTGATGTGGCTTTTGCACTGGGGCATTTGTTTTGGCTTTCTGTACTCTTCGATTTTGACACGCATTCCTAATATGCTTGTTATTTCGTGGATTCTTTTTACATCCTTTGACGGTTTAAAATCCAAGATGTATAAAGGAAGAGGTTCTTTTCTTTTATATTTTAACATTTGGGTTACTTTACAAATGTTATAATTGCNTTCCACAGAGAATGATCAGTACTGGCGTCGTCAGTAAGGTCTTTTAAGTAATTTTGAATATTATTATCCTTGTGACTATCTATTAATGCTCTTAATTCGGCTGTTATTATATTTAATTTAGTTTTATCACTTGGAATTCTATTGGTTTGCCATTTCTTTCTTGCTTTCCGTTTTTCTGCAATTTTGTCTCTAATGAATTTAGGATAAATATTAGATTTCGGTTTTGGTGTTAAAATTGGTGTTGAGGCTCAGGCTGCGTTTTGTATGTCTTTTAAGAACTTTTCTACTTCATTGCCAATGTCTTCGTTTGTTTTCATAAGAGCATTAAGATGAATTTTATTATCTTTTATTATATTATTTTTATGTAAAGGAGACAGTTAAATATATAAATACAAGGTAGTGTTAAGATTTTTAACTCTACAAATTTAGCTCTACAACACTCAGAGAATTTTAAATTCGAAATCACTCGGATACATCGTCTCTGAGCGCTAAACACCCGAGCAGCATGTGCAGAATGACCCCAAGCGAGAATGGCATATGATAAGTGAGCATGAAAATAACCATAGTATGCTGTCATTACTGTATTTACTGGAACGATATTAATTAAATTTCTAATACAGTAAATAATGATGCTGTCTAAGACCATTGGAATTCTACAGCATTATTTTTAGGAGCTGCTTTTTAGACATTTTGATTTCTTTTTTGAATTGCTCCTTGGCTTAAATTGCTTTCGATGAAATCTAGACGTGCATATAATGTTTTTATTGTTTCTTCTTGTTGAAGTATTTTTTTCTGGTATTAGATCTAATTTATTGTCAGCCTTTTTGTCGACTAAAGATTACTTACAGTTTTCTCTGCAGTTTCACCATTCGCTTTTTCGGCATACGAGACGCCTGGCTTTCTTTTATTTGAATTTACTGTTTTCTTATTCCTGATGGCTTGTAGTTCCTTAATCACAGTGCATCCTCGGTAGTTCGCTGGATGATTTTCTCCACAGTTAAAACGTTTAGCCGGCATTTCTTTGGCTTTAGTGCATTCACTGGTCCAGTGTTCACCAGCGCATTTCGGATTTTTGTGGCAGTAAGCTTTGGTGTGGTTTTTGCACTGGGGCATTTGTTTTGGCTTTCTATACTCTTCGATTTTGACACGCATTCCTAATATGCTTGTTATTTCGTGGATTCTTTTTACATCCTTTGACGGTTTAAAATCCAAGATGTATAAAGGAAGAGGTTCTTTTCTTTTATATTTTAACATTTGGGTTACTTTACAAATGTTATAATTGCGCTCCAATAGTTCACCTTTAATATCATTAACATCACAGCTTTTATGCATCTTTTTAGCTATCACTTTCAGATTTCTGGTTTGTTTATTTTCATAAGTGGACCAGGACAAATTCTTTTCAGTAAGCATCTTTAATGCTTCTCTGTACTTTTCTTCCGAATTAAGATGTAGTTTTACGCTTTAAATGTAATTTATAAATGGCATCATATTGTTTGACATTATAAATTAGTATTGGTGGGGGTAGTAATACCTTCAGTTTGTATTTTGTGCCCGATTGTACCGGTTTTTTTTTCAGGTTTGCTTTCAATTTCCGAAGACAGTTTAGATGGCGAGGTTTTAGTTTTACGTTTTTTGTTTCCTTTAGCTTGTTTTATTATCCAATCAGTCTCCAAAGCTAACTCATCTTCGTCTGTGTTATACACCACTTTGGTGGTCACTGGAGGGTTAAGATTTTTTGTTGAGTTTTTAAATCTTCTATAACCTCCTTCAGGTCATCTATTTGTTTCTGAAGTGTAGCTTCATCTTAAAGGAATTTATATAAAGGTGTTTTTGAACTCTGGACCTGATCGTTAAGGCATTATTAAAAAAATATGTTCAGTACAAAGTTTGAGCAAGTTGTAAATGTGACCAACATCTTTTGAATGAAGTTTATCCTTGATAATTGGGATATTAGTGTAAAACTAGGCCTGCATTTTTGTTTGCATTAATGATATGATGAGATTCATTCTGAAGTGATCTTCCTCTAAAGCTCCAATGGTAGCACATTCTAGATCAATCTTGGCTGCGAGGGTGTTATGGTATATTTGTGTCTTTTGTTGAGCCAGTTCTTTTTAGTTGAAAATAATATTTGATAGGTTAGTTAAGTTGGGGTGAAATTTGTGTTGATAAGTTGAATCGGATGTTGAGTTTTGAATGAGTGTTGAATTTAGAATTGAGTTTTGTTGCTCAATTTATTAATCTTGTTATTTTTATTTCTGCAAGATGTATTTAGTCGTTCTCTTTCGACATGTTTTTATTGTTCTAAAGTAATGCAATCTATTTGTTAAAATATTGTAAATATAGTTATTTTCTAGATTCTTCTTGTGAGAAGAACCTCAAATGTTGAGGTAATTTATATTCTGTGTATTTAAGAATTAATTCTTCATTGAAGCAAATTTTATTAAATTTAATATTGTTTAATAAGTTTATTAAAACGTAACTGATTTTACTCTACTTTGATATTTACTTAAACACTTTTTCGTTTTAAGGTGGTGATTTATTAGTGACATGTCATCTTCACCAATCTCACAGCAGATCAAATACGAGTGTATCAATGATTGAAGATAACGGAAAGCCGCCACCTTTACCACTAAAGAAACGTCACAGTAAGTTATATATCTTAATATTTCTTTTTTAAATCATAATTTTTAATTGGACCCATTTTTGTTGATAATCGTAGTTTTTATTTCTAATTTTATCTCTTTACGTATGTTATTTCTTTAGTGTTCCAATCGGTGGCTTATTCCGGTAAGTTAAAGCCACAAAATTTTGTAGTGCAATGCAAAACGAACAAAAAGGCCTCGATTTGTGACAAAGTGGCCGAAATAGCAACAAATTTTATGCTTTTTATCACGTTTTCACTGATTTTCACCAAATATTCACCAATTATTCACCATCAATCCCGGCTTTATTTTTGTACATTTATTTATTTTGACAATATATTTAAGCACAACACCCCGAAAAACCCTCCAAATAAGGCAAGAATTTTTTGAAAGCATGTTGCAAATAAAAATTGCATGGAGAAAAATTTTTTTGTATACAAAGAAGAATTTTTGCTTTCATTTATAATTTAAATCAAAAGAACGGTCTTGATTTAATTTTTTCTTTTTATTAAAATGTAGTTATGGCTTATATGGAAATGTTTGGAAATTGTTCACATTCCGGTGACACCGAATTCATTACCGAGCGTCATTCAATGGTTATTCAAGGTCAAAGAGCATCACATCCCCCACAACTCGGCCTCCCAACAACTCAATCTTGTTCGTTTTCACACACAAGTTCATGTTCTCGTTCGATGCACTCACAAACACTCACCATTCCGCACACTTCCGGTGAAATTACAAGTCCGATTCCATCCCCAATTCGTTCCCCAAACCTTTCAATCAGCCCGATTCCACCAAGCGGGACCCCACCGGCTTTACCCCCAAAACGATCCCGCTCAAGTTCCGCAAAATCTTCACCTCCCCCAACTCCTCAAGGAAATATTCAAGAAAAAGCACCAGCGAAATCTTTACCCGATCTTTTGGAACATACCTCCGTTATAATCCCGAAAGAGGAAGTTCGAGAAGCTTTAGTTGAAGTAAAACCGTGCGATGTTGATTTAATGGAAGCGGTTGATATCACGGATTATTTAGTGTTTAAATCACCGGAAGATGATGGACCCGATATCAGAGGGGGATGTATTGATGCTTTGATTATTCAAGCGACAAAAGCAACTAAAAATGGAGGTAAGAATGTAAAAATGAAACACACCAGAAATGGAAAATAATCATAAACATTGTAATAAATAAGTGTTTAACCCTAGAAAGCTAAAATATCGTAAAAATTACGAGTGTATTTTTTTTGTTTAGTTTTCTCCAATTACTCTGCGACTATTGACTCGCTTGTCTAGTTGCAGTATGTCATTTTTTTTACATATCCGTTTTGCGTATAGTGGATTATTATTGATTGAAAAGTGATAATATTTTGTTCTCATGCGTAGTTTTAGTGGTAAATGTAAATAATGTTAATGCGTAGCGCTTCACAGATGGAGAAGTACAGTGTTTTAATTAATTATCATACCCGACATCATCATTGCAAGTATGCAACCAATATCACAGTCTTTATTTTATAATACGCGATTTGCTTATTGCAATACCAATACTGTGATATTGGTTGCATACTTGCAATGATGATGTCGGGTACGATAATTAATTAACATACTGTATGTGTTGCTGCTGTCGGGACAAAATTTCATCCATACGTCCTGTTGGTTCCCTTTGTAAAGGGGTAGACTTTTCACCAAGATTTCACCTGGCATCTTCAGTGCGTTGTCGTAGTCTCCTGTCGGCAGACCAACGTACTGCGGTGTTTGGGGCTCCTTTTATAGTAGTCCGTCGCGGTCTTAGATTGTCAACATAACTCGTTGGTCAAGAGAAGCGTCGGCCTCTAGCGGTGAATCCCGAAACGGTCAATAGAGCGTCGTCGTCAATAAAAATGAACATCGACGATATACAAGAGCTTGGCAATAAAACCTTGGAGGACCTTTTAAGGGCCATCGCGATGTTACTTCAAGAGAGAATAAACCAAAAACGAAGATGAGGAGTTCGGTCCACCGAAATGCAAGAAAAAACGAAAAGTACAACAATAAGATCCTGAAATCGAAACAGCAACAGATATGCCCAACTGGGCGATCACGAAGGAGAAAACATGGAAGAAGAAGGACATGATGAGGAAGAGGCAAAAGATGAACAAAGAGAGAAGAGGCCAAAAAATAAACTAGAACCAACACATCAAACAGAAAAAAATTGGCAACAGTCGACGCAATAAAGAAACCGAAAATAGCACCGTTAGTTCTAACGCAAAAAAACATATGGAATGACGTGAGCCACCTCATGAATAAAAAGAAAATAAACTACGTAAAAGCAAAACTGGTAGCACAGGGGATAAACATAGAACCCACAACCGAAGATGATTACAGACAGCTCAAAAAAGTATTGGAAGATGAGCAAATTAAGTTCTACACATACGACTTAAGGTCAGAAAAAAAACTGAAGATAGTAATTAGGGGAGTCATGCACGAGACGACCCTAGAGGAAGCAGAAAAAGACCTAATGGCACAAGGATACCCGCATGAATGGCAAACAGGGCAAACCAGCGCCAATTATTCTTGTTGAAATAAGCAAAGAGTACCGCTCTATCTACAACATCACTAAGGTATGCGGAATGGCAGTCAATGTAGAATCGTTACGAACAAAAACAGAGATCATACAGTGCCATCGGTGTCCACTCTTTGGACACGCACAGAAAAACTGCAACTGCGAATTCAAGTGTATGAAGTGTGGTTAAAGCCATATCACGAAAGACTGCACCAAACCCAAAACGACTACTCCGTGATGCGCCAACTGTAGCGACGAACATCTGTCCACTTCAATACGATGTGCAAAAAGCCCGAACAACTCAAACATAAAAAAAACTGTCAACACTCACAAGCCGGAGAACAACTTCTGGAACAAGAGAGAAGAGGCCCGTAGAAAAGAAGTGCTCCATAACGAAAAAAATGATGAAAATACGAAACGAAAAGAAACTGAAACAAACGATGACAAAAAATACAACGACAACAACACAAACAATAACACAGACGAACTTAAAAGAACACTAGGCGATATGTACGCTGAATTTGCCTTCACAAATCCTACAGAAAAACATTAATGAAAAACAACAAAATTTTTTGAAAAATTGTGTATTTCGCATACTTCCACAGCATGGCGGTATATGGCATAGTAATATCGGGTGCTTCCACTGACCTAAAAGAAGTTTTCAAACTACAAAAGAAAGCGATAAGAACGCTAGTAGGTCTAAAACAAAATCAGAGTTGTAGAGGTCATTTTAAAATTCTAAAAATATCGATATTACCATCCTCATATATACTTACGTGCCTACATTATATACACAAAAACAGGGATTCACTAACCACAATTACAGAGTCTCACCCCTACTGCACCGAACAAGCAGATGACATCAAACTTCCATATCACAAAACAACAAAATCACAAAAAAAATTTCAACTATATATCTATTAAGTTATACAATGAATTGAATTTCAAATGGGGTAAATTTGAAAACATTGAATATGAAGAGTTTTAAGAGAAAGGTCAAGAATATGCTCTTAGAAAAGGAATTCTACTCCATAGACAAATACTTTGCAGCGATGAAGATAAACTAATGAATACCTGTTTTCTTTATTGTCATTATTATTACGACTTTTATTTGACGAGAATATTGTATATTTTGATGCATATTCAATAAACTTATTACTACTATTATTCGTACCATGTTCAACGAATGCAAGAACTAGTCGCTGCAGACTACGTTTCGAGATAGTATTCTGTGGAATGATGTTGCAGAAGCTTGTACAAAATCCAATATTTCACGGTAGTATTTTATTCACTGACAAAGCTGCTTTTACAAAAAACGGAATTTTGATTTTTTACAACAATCACTTTTGGACGGATGAAAATCCTCACGCTGTTGTGCAATCAAGAAGCCAGTATAAGTTTTCTGTAAATGTTTGGCTTGGTATAGCGATTCTTCCTAATCGCTTAACTACTGAAACTTATTTGGACTTTCTGCGAAACACTTTGCCGATATTATTCAAAGATGTACCTGTCCAGGATAGGTTGCAAATATGGTTCATTAATTAATTAATTTTCGTAATTTTCTTAATACTGAATTTTATGGTAGATGGACAGGAGGAGGTTCAATAATTTGGCCACATAGATCACCTGATTTAAAACCTCTAGACTTTTTGCATGAGGTTACTTAAAATCATTAGTGTATTCAGCACCTGTTAATAACTTAGAGGATCTCCAGCAAAGAATACAAAACGCATGGGAGACTATTCGCCAATCTCCAGAAGTCTTCGAAAGAGTGCGCGATTCTTTTGTAGGAAAATATTATTAAGCGCTATTATTTATTTCAGTATTTTGTTTTCACGTTAGCGGGATGTTTCTGTTTTCTACTTAGGTTTTCAGTGTATTTAATAATACCTATTGTGTTACTTATATACAGGGTGTTTCATGAGTACATACGTTAATATGTTAGAGATTTGTTCATTTTAAGCGGAAAAGTTCCTATAAACATGTGCTCAATTCTCAAAGGTAACTGAGATACAGCCAGTTACTGCATAAACTGATTTATTTAAATATGTACATAAAACATCGAATTTTGGACTTTAAAGGATTGTTTGAATATCCCATCGCCTAACTCAATGCACTTGGCTAATCTTTTGAAGATAATGTGTGCTGCGTAATTTATCCTGATGTGCCTTGATTCGTGCAGCACTGGACGTAATACGAGCGATTAGCTCATCACGCATCTTTACTTTTACTTGATAAACATCGATTTTCAGCCATCCCCACATACCGTTATCTAACGGATTAAGGTCCGGTGACCAAGCTGGCCAACTGATAGGACCGCAAGGTTTCCGCAAAGGTTTGGTTCAGGTATTGCATCACTTGACGCCCGTAGCGAGCAGGGGTCTCATCATGCTGGAAGAACAGATTGGCTCTGGTAGCCAAAGGAATATCTGTTGACAGTATTGGAAGCTCGTTGCGCAAGAACTCTAAACATCTGTCCGTTGTTAGACACTCGGGTAGTACGAAAGGCCCAATTAAGTTATTGTCAATCATTCCACTCCATACATTCACAGAGAATTTTACCTAAAAATTTGTTACAACATTGGCATGCGGATTATCCTCAGACCAACGATGATCATTCGCTTCATCAGCATTAACTGGCTGTATCTCAGTTACCTTTGCGAATTGAGCATATGTTTTTAAGAACTTTTCTCCTTAAAATGAACAAATCTATAACATATTAACTTACCATTCCTTATGAAACACTCTGTATAATATACATAAATACTTTTTTTCAATTATCATTTAAAATCGTCATATAACTTGTCATTTACTTTTTTTGTTGATATATTTATATTTACTTTTTTTGCTCATTCTCATCTGATATACTTGTTTAATTGTATTTTTTTTTTTAATTTTTAAAGAGTTTTGTATTTTGTTGACTGTTTGGCTGTGCTGTTGGGTTGTTACTTCTGTCTGTATACTTTATGGATACTTTTCGTGTGGGTCATTTGAATGTGAGGTTCCTGCTTGCGCACTTTGATGATTTCAGGGTTAATGTATTTCGGTTTGATTATGATGTTTTTGCTATGTCTGAAACTTGGTTAAATTCGGATATTGGGGCATCTGTTGTTTGTATCAATAATTATTACCTGGTTAGATCGGACAGGCCATCTAGGGGGCGGTGGAGTTAGTCTAGTTGCATTGAATGGTGAGGTATTGATGTTGTGCATGTTCCTGGAGTAGAACAGCTTTGGGTTGAGATTCGGCTCAATGGTTTAAATTTTGCAGTTGGAGTTATCTATAGGCCTCCTTCTTTCGATATTAATTTGTTTCTTCGTTCGTTTGACGAGTCATCGTCAGAGATTTATGTTGCAATTGATAGAGTATTAATTTTGGGTAACTTTAACATTAACCTCATGATGCATGGCCCCTCTACTGATTGTTTACTTTCAATTCTAAATACTTTTAGTTTAAGCCAGTTTGTTTTTTTTAAACACTCATTGATGTTATTATTATATCAAAGGAGTTGCCTCTTCGTGTTTGTGACACTGTCGATGTTGGGTTCTCGGATCACTTGTTAGTTTTTTATGAGTTAGCGATATCAATGAGTACTAAGTCTAAGGCTACAGTTATTAGTTTTCGTGGTCTCCCTGGTATTGACGTT